GGGGAAGCACGGTTATTACCCGGCGGGGGGGGGGGAGGGGGAGGTGGCAGTGGGTGAGACGGCCACGTTGAACAAATGACATTTTACTTTCGGAAAACTGAGTTGTGGATGTCACATTAATGGCGTAAAGATATATCGGTCTCATTTTTTACATCACAAATACATGGCATTTGAACAGGGGTGTTGAAGTAGACATTTTACATCCACTATAATTTTTTGGTGGGCCAAATTACAGAACGGAGCAGGTTTTATGTGCGCTCCCAGCCCATGCTTTGCCCTTTACAGACACCATATAAGTACCATATTTAATGCAATAATCATTGCTCCAATAATTAGGCCAACTTTTGGGCCTCAGAAGCACATCAAAACATATCCAATTCTATGTCTCCCTATTTACACTGTGAAAAAGCCGGATTTTGTCAGGAGAACTGAAGGAATCATTTTGTATTTTAGGTTTAGTTCTCATACATGTGCGTATTAATAATGATGGATTGATTATGCTTGCAATGAAGAATGCTTGTACTTATAATAAAGAATGCTTAGTGCACTGTGTGACAGTTAGGGGACACAACCACCTTTCTGAGAATGTGGTTGGAAAGAGATAAGGTAAGAAGACAAAACAAGAGCAAGGTCGGACGTGGATGGAACTGTCAACACCAGCTGCAGCTTACTTGGTGTTTTTGTAATGATTGCACACATGTACGTAATTTCCACTCACATAGTCAAACAAGTTCAGTGTGTGTCTTCAACAGCCCTCACTCCTTAGGTTGGATACGCCTCTGTATTAGATTCCCAATGAGAAATAAATGAGAGGGCGAGCGGGGAGATCCTTGCGTGACGTGCAGAGAACTGAAACAAAACGCTTCTCCTCGTAGCCCCCCCTTCGAGAGATTTGGTACCAGAATCCAGTGTCTCCTCTCCTCATTGGGTCTTTATTATGAATGTGTCCCTTTGAGAGATTTGGTACCAGAATCCAGTGTCTCCTCTCCTCATTGGGTCTTTATTATGAATGTGTAATTGATGACTCTGACAAGAACCATGGAGTGTACATCCAGACTCAGAAGTCAAGCTATACATGTCGAGTGTGAATAAGCATCAGCAACTACAGGACCAGTACCCTCGCTCAAGGACAAGGGTCACAAGGGCCGGGGATCAAACCCACAAGTTATGAGTTGGGAGGCGACCAATCAAATACGCACAGGCAAAGACAGTAAGAGCTCACCTTGTTGCAGTACATTGACAGTCATGAAGCCGGAGTTGTTGGTGGCCAAGCGGTACCAAGCATTGCGAGGGTTGAGCAGCCACTCCTCGACATGGCAGTAGTAGCGCCCCCTGTCGGTCGGCCGGGCTCCCTGAATAGTCAGGCTGTACTGGTCCGAGGCGCTCCTTTCGAACTGCAGGCGGGAGTTAGGCCCCGCCTCCTCTCTGGGGCTGCAGTTGCCGTTCCCGAAGATGGCGTCGTGCCCGATGGAGAACACGCACTCCCGCTCGCGCTCTTCTTCCGTCGGCAGCAGCTCGTCGTCCTCCTCCTCGGCGCGCTCCACGTACCAGGACACGGAGAAGCGCGAGTCTCGGGACGACTGCGAGGGAATGCTGCAGCCAAGGCGGATTGGGCCGGACTCCGGGACAGTCACGTTTGACTCAGTTTCCTCGACCAACAGTCGGGCCTCTGTAGTGAAACACATGATCAGTCGTCAGCTTTCTGCCTTTTTGAATATCGCTCGCTTGCTGCATTTGGAACATTGGCGAGTCTCAGTTTGCCTGGATTCGTTAAATCAGACGCACCAAAGAGAACAGTGTTCACAACAACAACAAATATGAATGATGACAACCAAATTGCCAAGTACATACAATGATACGACTTTATCGAGCATCTTTATTGTGCCGATACGCCTGACATGACTGAACTGCAAAAACATGTCCGCTAAAAATTCTCAGGTGTGCTGTCCACGCTGTGACAAGAGCCGCTAGCCACCAGGACACTACAAGCTAACACACTGGGGCTAAACTTTAAATATCAGGAACAAAACACTGAACAAGAATAATATTCCGGCCCACGACAGCAGTTTCCCTTTTGTCTTCATGAATGACAGACTTGAGTGGACACGCAGCTGTTGTGATTTTGGCACGGCTGCGCTGGGAAATAAATCATTCAAAGTTTCCACGTTCCCCCAGCAATGTGCCCACGTTACCCTGGTTGGGAAAAATTGGAAGTGCGGCACTGGGCCTTGTTTTAGCCCCACACACGCCGCTAAATCAATCAATCAATCAATCAATCAGCACAACTAAAAGGTTTGAAAACAGTTTTAACGCTTTACTGCCAAAATTCCTGACTGCAGTAATTAGTTCACAGTTGTTGCATTTTTTTTCCCTTTCTTTTCTCTCTCTCTGTTTTTTTAAGCAATTACATTGTAATTTTTCATTCGTTTTATGGATCATGTCAAAAAAAGAGAGCAAATGCAACCAACAGCTGTCGAGTCGCAGAATTTGGAAACCGACTAAATATTTTGGGGGGAAAAAAAAAAAAGAAAAAAGAAGAAGTCACAAAAATATCACGCAAAAAACCACACAAGGATGTTCGTATTGACAACACCATAAAACAGGAACAAGGACGTTATTGCAAAGTTGCTGTAGCTTAGCATGTGCAAATTCATCACGTCCATTATTTCCTGTGGGGGGTGCTGAATTTCTCCTTCCGATGATGAATAAAGTATATGCCATATATTTATATATGGCATATATTAAATCTACTCATTAGTTCGTGATAAACCAACCAAGAAAAATAAGAACGAGAATAGCACAAGATCAAAGCTGCTTTGACGTGTCATTACCATTGATGTTTATGATCTATGTACTTCATGTATTGATGTTCATTTATCATGAAATATCGATGGTTTGGCATTATGGATACATGACCGTCCACATGCGTGTACACGCTGGGCATTTACGATTAAATGTTTACTAATAAATGAATGTGCGAGGAACCCCATATTGATTGACCGAGAAATTTACATCCCCATAATGAAAGCAAAGATATATTCAGCAAATATAAAGTTGCATATACTGTAACGTATTCCCATCGGGTTAAATATATGTAGCTGCTAGAGCCCAATTAGTTGCAGCGGTGTTGACTTCACATAATTCACTCTTTTTTGTTGTTGTTGTTTTGTTATTCTCCCCCCCCCACCCCCCACCCTCGCTGTCTTTACTTTTTTGAACTAATGCTGTATTGATGACGGCAGTGCATGTTATAAACAGGACACCTAGAAATAAAAGTTCTTCGAGGCCAACTAAAAATCTTTGGAATATCTTCCTGCAAGAAACTGGGTTATTTGTATATATTTTTTGGAAGCAACAGAGGTTATTTGGAGGTTTCTGCTGGTAATGAGAAAAAAAAAGAAGTTTTTTTTTTTACATCACCCTTGTGGATTGTCCTGAGGGACGTCATCTTACATTGGCGTTGACAACGCATGAATACATGATGCCTTTGAGTGCTTTTGGATGCTTCTTGGGAAGAAGTGACCTGATGAGAAAGCTTCCGTGTGGTGCCTTGACAGCTGTCGTGGCTTCAAAACCATTCGATGCCAGCTGATCTCTTCCGCGGATTTGACTGCTGTCGGGATATTGAGCTGCTAGTTATCAGTGCTAGTGGCTGGCGGCTATTGGCGCCCAGGCAAGACCACGAAATGAGATGAGGGTGTTTACACCGTGCATGGCAAGGAGGTCCAAATTGGACTGAAAAGCAGGTGGGCGGCAAGAGTTTGGAGAGATCGCTATTGTCACAGTGTGCTTTTATTCAGCGCACCCGACAGTACTTTGTCTTATCGTATTTTACACAATGAAGCAACGCATCATTCAAAATATTTGGGACGCTGCATTGGTGCCGGCTCTGTCATTTACCTCTCGGTCACACAGGTTGGGACGGCAGCTATCCGGTGCCGGCTCTGTCATTTACCTCTCGGTCACACAGACCGCAAAGATATTGGACCCGCATTGTAATATTAGAACCGTGCCACAGTCTAACTGCAGCATTCAGGCTAGTGGGACTGCATTTCCCATGATTTTGACACACGGAAACAGGAAATAGTTCTCGTTCGAGTATGACAAAAAGACTGCTCGCTTGCAATTAGATGCAGATAAGAATGAGAATGCAAACGTGAACGTGAAAGTAATTTGAATTAAAGACGGAGAACTGAAACGTCCATACATAAGGCGCACCGGGTTATAAGGCGCACTTTTGAGAAATTTACGGATTTTATGTGTGCCTTATGGTCTGAAAAATGCAGAAACTCCAAATTTGTGGTTACAGACGACCACACTCCACTAGGCCCGCCTCAAATAATTTATGATACGCCAAATGTGTGAATGTGTTTACCAACCCCCCGCAAAATGGAAGCTGTTAACCGTCTTTTTCATGATATTGAATCCATGAAAGGAAAAAGGTATTACAATGGAAAAAAAGAGAACTTTTGGCCCATGCTGGCATCTTGAGCATTGGTAGAAATGCACTAAATCAGTATAATACATTCAATTTGTGTTCTGTGCCAAAAATAAATACCTGTGGAGGCTGCATGACTTAAATTGAGACATATCTTCCATAGAAAGAAGAAGAAAAAAAAAAAAATCGAACAATAAAGACAAAAAAAAAGGACCGGCATGCGAGGTCAACATGACAGCTGGTTCCTCCTTGCATCGGGAGTAAGAGAAGCAAACACCTTGTTAAAGACACTGACCTGGCTGTCTAACCCGAACCTCCGTGAACCCAGACGTGTCCCGCGAGAGACGATACCACGCTCCATCTGGATCACTGAGCCACTCCTCCACCAGGCAGTAGTACGTCCCCGAGTCGCCGCTCTCCGCCCTGTTCAGCGTCAGCGCGTAGTGGCGTGGGGAGAGCCTCTCGGCCTGCACGCGCCGCCGCAGCCTCTCCTCGTCGGCGTACGTGCCGTACTCCAGGGCCCCCGATCGCTCAATCCGGAGTAGGAGCTCGTCGGCCTCCGTGCCCGCGGCGGCGCGTCTCACGTACCACAGCACGGCGTGGTGGGAGTCCGGGCTGGTCTGCGAGGTGATGGAGCAATTGATCCGGACTCGACTGTCCTCCAGGTTGACCAGAGACTGGTTCTTTTTTAGCACTTGAAGCTTACTCTCTGTGGAAAAAAAAAACACAAAAGATGGAATTTATTTTGTGTTCCAATGTGTTTGTTGGAGGCTCAAAATGTGAATTTTGACTCGCAGACTGTGATGTGAAACCGCTTATTTTGAGCCTTGGATTAGCATACGATGTGGCAGAAAAGTTCAAGCATCGCAGAATTTTTTTTTTTTTTTGTTGTTGATGTGCTGGTTCATCGATTGGCCTACACTGTGGGGGAAAACCCGTGGTTTGGGTTTGAGATACAGTAGATCTTTTGTGACACCAGTCCTGGAACCTTTCTGACACACTTCATCTTCTTTAAGACTCATGCACTGCACACAGACCAATTGAGAAATGTCACGATCCCATCTTGCAACAAAAATCCTTGATCAGCACCAACATTTAACAGTTTCTTACGCCTCCACAAAGTCTGAAAAGTCCTTTTATTCTTTTATCTTGGCCACTAAAAAACAACACCGAAAAGCATAACCTCCTTTGCTGTTCTACATTCATAACAGACCGTTGCCAGATTTTCTGTTTGGTGGACAGATGACATGCCGACAATACGAGGAGGAGAACACGCAAGACACCTCAAAGTGGCCAAGGCTGCTGAAATCAAGGGCGGAAAGAACATGTGTGACAAAAGGCACACAAGTGCAAAGGGAGTCAAGGTTTTGTAACAGGAAGGCAAGCGGGCACAATTAGACAAGGAGGGAGGCCAGGCTGTCTGTCAAAATGTCAGACAGTCACAAGGGAGGGAGGGAGACGATGTCACTGTTGTGACATCATTGGTCACAGTCACATCAGCAGCGGGGAAACAATGAGCTGCAGGTACCGTACGATGCATATTTTTCAAATCTGGAAGCGTCTGTTAATCAAAGGCGAGCTTCGACTCCCCGCGTTGGATCTGATTAGAATGTGCGGATGTACTTAATATTGTGTCTACCTTGTGTGTGAAATGAATACAAAGCAACACTATTGTGCTACGTGTGGCCATCGTCAATAGGATATTAAAGTTAAATACTTGTTGAAGCACGCTCAAAATGATTGGCCAATATGATCAAGCCTCTGAGTTGACTTATTGATCAGTGGTGCGTGTGAGTGTGGGTGTTTGTGTGTTCGCAGCTGCTGCTGCAGTTTTTCCCCACTAGGGGGCAGAAAACATCCCCTGCTGGCAACAGCCACCAACCTGCCACAGATAACTGAGCACAGGGCACCTGAATGGAGATGGTCATAATTGATGATTTGAGATGACTACTCAAACCACACTTTGAAACAGAGAAGAGCTTAAAAGGTTTGACACAAGAGGCCTGAAAAATTGGATACACTGACATCAAGTACACTTTCAATTTACAGATTACACAATACATTTTAGACCTTTGTGGTCAAACCGTTTTAGCCTTCTGTCTTCCTGTATTGTTTAAATAGCCACTTTTTTAATTATGTATACATACATCTGGCATTATTATGCAAAGATAATAACACCCTGCAGTCTGTGTCGTTGTCGTTGATCCGTTGAGTCAATCATCACAGCTGAGACTAATGAGTTGAACAAGTCGAATTCCAACCATCGCAGCGCTTAAGACCAGCTTTAATATTGTGCTACTTGCTTTTGCTTTTCACAGCTCAGAATGATGCCGTGCGGTCCCGAAATACAAATGATCACCACAATAAGAAAAGGTGAGATCAACATCTCTCTGACAGTCTCCCAATTGAAGATTATCATCTTTATAAAGGATAAACTTTTGGATAAAAACATTTTTTGAAATCGTTGGGTTTCATATGAAATTGGATCTAAGGTTGAGAGGAAAAATAGGCGTTCAACTCTGTAAAAAAACGCTCATTGTGCATGAAGGCACGCCAGACGTCTGCATACCCACATGAGACCGAGCATTTAAGGAGAGATTCTGCTTGTGTTTTTGCTTTATGTCACCGCTTGTGACACTTATTCCAAGAGGCTCAAACAAGAACTGGAGAAGAGAAGAAAATAAACCCCCCCCAAGAAGATATGTGAAGTCCCGTATATGGAAGCGTGCTTTGTGTCACTCTGATTTATTGGTTGATTTCATATGATATAAGGATAAGCGGATCAGAAAATGGATGGATCATATAATATAACATTAGTAGTTTTGTCCCTAATAACTTGGCAGCAGCCATCGGATGAAAGCAGCAATCGTTTCATCTTTTGATCCGTCACAATAGCAAGTAGCAATGATGCTAAAGCCGTGTGTAGGATCATAACTTAAAAATTATTGTTTACATTATAAGGCGGATTTATTATTCCCGATTGGTCCAATGTGTTATTTTATTCGGCATTTGTTATACAGTAGAATCACACTGTTTCAAATGAATGAAAAAATATCTGTTGATGAAAGGTTTAATTACACTATAATTATCTTTGTTGTCAGTACCAGTGCTTTAATACTGGCAATTTAAAAGCAATGGAAAAAAAAAATGCTTGCCGGTTGGCAAACAGCATGTACTTGTCTAAACTGGTCCATGACACAAAAAAGGTTGGGGACCACTGATCTAGAGGATTAAAAAAAAAAAAAAAGGTTCATGAAGCAAATTTGAAGCTTCATTTTTCCCATCACTATCTGTGCTGATCTCAAATGCAATTTGATGTAAATTAATCTAATCTGAATTTCACAGACAATGCTTACTCGTTGAAAACTCGACAAATATATTTGTCATTTGGCTTCCACTTGACGAATACAACCGTCCATGACAGTGTATGAACAGAACACATGACAATAAGTCCTAATTAAGGACAAGGAAGAGCTCTTGCATTTGTCATCATTGTCATGACATCAACATGCATCTCAGATCGGAAGCCTCATCTCCACAGAAATGACCGTAAGAACGCTGAAGAATCCTGGCAATCATTTCTTTTGCAAAGAGAATTACCTCCGGACTTTCAGAAGGAGAGCCATGCAAGATTGGGTTGGCAAAGGAGGAAGATTTTTTTCCCCCCCCATTTCAAGTTTGAAGCCGTGGCCAGGAGAAAAAGGGAAAACATGAGAGCTGTACATTAGTGTTTACAGAAACGCCTTTTCAAAGATAAAATATGCAAATTATTCAAGCCGTATTAAGAAAGCATGGCCGGCTATTACAAGTTGTTATAATTAAGCATTCGCTCACGCGGTGGCGGGACAGAGGAGCCACAAACAAGCCGGGAGAGTGAGAGGCGCAATGAAGCAAAAATGCGGCCCTCTTCTATTGCAAAACAACCTTCACGTCTCCCCCCAGAATAGTCTGGCAGTGAAATGCGACGTGAAGTGAGCAGCGACTTCACAGAGCAGCCGCTCGTCACGTCCTCACACGTGTCCATTCCCACAGAGAGCGGCACCCTTTTGCCTTCCTTTTGCTCCGCTCGAAACGTTACACGAGAGAAAACACTAAAGCAATCCATATGATCCAAGTTCAGTAAGTAGTGAATGTGCCATTGATTAGGACCGCTAGGTAGCGGGTAGGGGAGGGGCGGGGATAGAGAGTAGGGAGCCAGTTCAATCACAAAGTAACAAGGCAGGCTCGACGTCTACATGCCTTCCCTCAGCAGAGAGTGGAGTTCGCATCGGCGGCTTTGTCTTAATGAGCCTCCAGGGGATGTCATCAAAATGGGATTGTCAACATTTCCTCTGTTCTGCTCTAAGTCGGCATTCAAACTTCAAGCGCCAGTTCTTGCGCTCACCTGTTTTATTACCAATGCCAAGGGGCTTGTGTTCTCATCAAGGCGGGTTTGTCGTTTGGTTAACGGGATTACACACACAAAAAACCCCCAAACCCAAAAAAAAAAAACCACAAAAAAAAAAAAAAAAACACTTTTATACAAAACGTTTGCCACTTTTGCACTACACTGTACTCACCTCAGTTTAAGCGTGTGGCTTTTCCAATTCAAAATAAAACACCATCTAAACAAGAAACGAAAACAACAACAACAACGGAGGAGGATGACGATCTCCAGTTTGGACTCTAGGGTATCGCAAGACGATGAAATTTACTCCGAAGGGAGCAGCCAGAAAACAGACCATTGCAGCTAAGTGCAAATGATGGAATATATAAGAATGTGTGTGTGCGCGTGTGTGTGTGTGTGTGTGTGTGTGTGTGCGCGCGTGCGCGCGTGTGTGCGTGAGCTATGGCACAGCAACAGTGCGAGGCAACATCCAAGTATTTTCTACTGTATATGGCTCGTTTGCATTATGGTCACAGGTAGGCCTGAACTAGTCAAATTCAAATCAACATGGCAATGCAGTTACGAACAATTTGGGAAATAAAACAAACAAACAAGCAAACAAAAAAAAACTGCTTCATGTCCATCCATGCATCCATCCATCCATCTAAAAAAAAACACCACATGGAAAGAGGACCTTGGAAAAATAATTGCATAATAAATCTCAATCACAATATGGGGAGTGGGGGTGTGGGGGGGGGGCGATGCACAAATGAGATAATTTTTCAAAATGATTCATTCCTAGTTGCAGGTTAGTTAGAGCCTATCCCGGCTCAACATGGGCGAGAGGAAAGGTACACCCTGGACTGGACGCCAGCCATTTACATTCACACCTATCACCTTCAGAACCTACTCAAGCATGAGGTGAATTAAGCAAAGGGGTGGCATTAAAAAGCCAATTTCTTGCTGCATGGTAGGTAAATGCCACCACTATATTCCCAGATAAGTCAGGTACTACTTCCGGTATGTGGTCAGTTGGGGTTCCAAGCGTGCCAGGTACATAACATACCAGTGACGTAACCCACTGCATGTTACCATTTGTCATACCCATGTCACTGTAACAGTCGAGGTCCCGAATTACAAAAATACACATAAACATACACAAGCTAATATTAGCTTTCTCTTGCTGTTTTTTTTTTTTGTTGTGATTCCTCATGTTGTTCACACCCCTACTATGTGTCAGATTTATTTGAGGAACGTATCTGTCTGTCACAGAAGTGATTGCTAACGACTGTTTTCCTCTCATCCGGCGCGGTGCAAAAAACATAACGTTCACCCACATCGCC